AGTGATACCAATATACGACCACAAAAATTTTTTTGCGGTCGTATAAAAATCTGAACTTTTTTTTCAAGTAGTCACTGAACCATGAAAATGAGGTCAAGGACATTGGACATGTGACTGACGGAAACTTCGTAACATGAGGCATCCATATACAAAGTATGAAGCATCCAGGTCTTCAATCTTCTAAAATATAAAGCTTTTAAGAAGTTAGCTAACGCCGCCGCCGCCGCCGCTGCCGCCGTAGCCGCCGGATCGCTATCCCTATGTCGAGCTTTCTGCGACAAAAGTCGCAGGCTCGACAAAAAGTATATACATGTATTTGAACTCCCAGTTAATACATTTGTTTCCTTCAATGTTTTTATACAAAGTTAAGTTTGGAATTTTATATGTTGTTGGATTTTTTATAATCTACTTCAGTGAATCCTTTTCCTAAAAGTTCTACCCATCTACAAACAAAAAATTATCCCAAAAGAGATGTGCCCACAAGTGAGGATATAAAAAGTTTCTTTCTAAAAGTTGATAAGCCATATTTATTTGAGGGTTAGTCTCTGCAGAGCATATCTCAAAGATGAATACGTGAAAGATTTTGCAACGCAAAAACAAATTTTATCAAAAGAATGGCTATGTAGCATGTGCATTGTATTTCAAAAACTAGAGGCTCTAAAGAGCCTGTGTCGCTCACCTTGGTCTATGTGCATATTAAACAAAGGACACAGATGGATTCATGACAAAATTGTGTTTTGGTAATGGTGATGTGTTTGTAGATCTTACTTTACTAAACATTCTTGCTGCTTACAATTATCTCTATCTATAATGAACTTGGCCCAGTAGTTACAGTGGAAAATATTTTGTAAAAATTTACAAAAAATTTACAAAATTTATGAAAATTGTAAAAAAATTGACTATAAAGGGCAATAACTCCTTAAGGGATCAATTGACAATTTTGGTCATGTTGACATTTGTAGATCTTACTTTGCTGTACATTATTGCTGTTTACAGTTTATCTCTATCTATAATAATATTCAAGATAATAACCAAAAGCTGCAAAATTTTCTTAAAATTACCAATTCAGGGGCAGCAACCCAACAACGTGTTGCCTGATTGGTCTGAAAATTTCAGGGCAGATAGATCTTGACCTAATGAACAATTTTATCCTGTCAGATTTGCTCTAAATGCTTTGGTTTCAGAGATATGAGCTAATAAAATGCTTCGCTGGGGCACAGCTTGATACGACCGCAGAGGTCGAACCCTGAACAGTTGGGGCAAGTATGGACACAACATTCAAGCTTGATACAGCTCTGAATTTGGATTGTTATTAAATATTTGACACAGCATAGGTTTCTGACACAGAAAGAATGTGGTCTAAGAACTTGAATTTTTTTAATTGACCTATTATGGTCCAATGTCCAAAATCAAAATACATGGTTAGATTCAGCATATCAAAGAACCCCATATATTCAATTTTTGTTAAAATCAAACAAAGTTTAATTTTGGACCCCAACTTGGACAAACTTGAAAACTGGGCCCATAATCAAAAATCTAAACACATGTTTAGATTCAGCATATCAAAGAACCCCAAGAATTCAATTTTTGCTAAAATCAAACTAAGTTTAATTTTGGACACTTTGGACCTTAATGTAGACCAATTTAAAAAACGGGACCCAAAATTAAAAATCTAAATACACGGTTAGATTTGGAATATTAAAGAACCCCAATAATTCAACTTTTTGATGAAATCAAACAAAGTTTAATTTTGGACCCTTTTGACCTCAATATGAACCAATTTGATAGCGGGGCCCACAAATAAAAAATCTAAATTCATGGTTAGATTCAGCATATCAAAGAACCCCATATATTCAATTTTTGTTGAAATCAAAAAAAGTTTAATTTTGGACCCCAACTTGGACCAACTTGAAAACTGGGCCCATAATCAAAAATCTAAACACATGTTTAGATTCAGCATATCAAAGAACCCCAAGAATTCAATTTTTGTTAAAATCAAACTAAGTTTAATTTTGGACCCTTTGGACCTCAATGAAGACCAATTTAAAAAAATGGGACCCAAATTAAAAATACGGTTAGATTTGGCATATCAAAGAACCCCAATAATTCAATTTTCGATGAAATCAAACAAAGTTTAATTTTGGACCCTTTTGACCTCAATATGAACCAATTTGATAGCGGGGCCTACAAATAAAAAATCTAAATACATGGTTAGATTCAGCATATCAAAGAACCTCATATATTCAATTTTTGTTGAAATCAAACAAAGTTTAATTTTGGACCCCAATTTGGACCAACTTGAAAACTGGGCCCATAATCAAAAATCTAAATACATGTTTAGATTCAGCATATCAAAGAACCCCATATATTCAATTTTTGTTGAAATCAAACAAAGTTTAAATACTGGACCCTATCTTGGACCAACTTGAAAACTGGGCCCGTATCAAAAATCTAAACACATGTTTAGATTCAGCAAATCAAAGAACCCCAAGAATTCAATTTTTGTCAAAATCAAACTAAGTTTAATTTTGGACCCTTTGGACCTCAATGTAGACCAATTTAAAAAACAGGACCCAAAATTAAAAACCTAAATACACGGTTAGATTTGGAATATCAAAGAACCCCAATAATTCAATTTTAGATGAAATCAAACAAAGTTTAATTTTGGACCCTTTTGACCTCAATATGAACCAATTAGATAACGGGGTCCACAAATAAAAAATCTAAATACATGGTTAGATTCAGCATATCAAAGAACCCCATATATTCAATTTTTGTTGAAATCAAACAAAGTTTAATTTTGGACCCCAATTTGGACCAACTTGAAAACTGGGCCAAAAATCAAAAATCTAAATACATGTTTAGATTCAGCATATCAAAGAACCTCATATATTCAATTTTTGCTAAAATCAAACAAAGTTTAATTTTGGACCCTTTGGACATTAATGTAGACCAATTTGAAAACTGGACCCAAAATTAAAAATCTAAATACACTGTTAGATTCGGCATAACAAATAAATAAATGTGATCAAAGATTTTACAAATCTAATGCGCCATACTGTGCAATTAAAGATTACTTCTTGAAATTTTTCAATATTTGAAATTTGAAAAAAAAATTTTATTTGAAGAATAATTCTTTTTAATTTCTGAAATCTGAAATGAGAAAAAATTGGCCCCCCACAATTTCTTTTTATCCCCCCCCCCCTTTTTCCCCCAAAAAAATTCTTTCCCTCAAGATATGGTCATAATCTCAATTCAAATTTCCAATGGAGTTGGCAACCATAATTACCCATTTAAATTTACCATAGTGCTAACTTAATCTATTTTATAATAGAATTAATAAAAATATAGTGTCAAATCTTTCATATGGATTTTTTTGTAAAAAAAAAAGATGAAAACATTTGCAGATATTTTTACTGGTCTTCCTTTATAAATATGCATTTCTTTAAACATAATTTAAAAGCAGTGTAAGGGAAGTAACCAAAACGTTGTATTTGGATTACCTCCCTTACACTGTTTTAGATTATCTTTATTGTTCATTAACCATTACTTTATACATAATTTAAAAGCAGTGTAAGGGAGATAATTTCAATGATGTATTTGATTTATCTCCCTTACACTGCTTTAAATTATGTTTTGTACTAAAGTATTTGTCCATTAACCAGGACAACCTTGTTTTTCCCCCTTTTTTGCCCCTAATTCCTAAACGGTTTGAGCCATAACCCCCCAAAGCAAATCCTAAACATCCCTTTGTGGTATGGAAACTTGTAGTATAATTTCAGAGAGATCCATACACCGTTCCACAGTTATTGTCTGGAAACTAGAAAATGCTCATTTTTGGCCCCTTTTTGGCCCCTAATTCCTTAACTGTTGGTACCATAACCCCCAAAATCAATCCCAACCTTCCTTTTGTGGTATTTAACCTTATGGTCAAATTTCAAAAAGATCCATTCACTTAAACTAAAGTTAGAGTGCGAAAACCAATATGTATTCGGACGACGACGACGACGACGCCAACGTCATACCAATATACGACCACAAAATTTTTTTGCGGTCGTATAAAAACTGCATTTTACCCTATGTACTATTTTTTATCCATGTCGGCCATCTTGGTTCGCGGGCGGGGTCATCCGACATATTTTTTAAACTAGATACCCTAATGATGATTGTGGACAAGTTTGGTTAAATTTGTCTTAGTAGTTTCAGAGGAGAAGATTTTTGTAAAAGATTACAAAAATTTACGAAAAATGGTTAAAAATTGACTATAAAGGGCAATAACTCCTTAAGGGGTCAACTGACCATTTTGGTCAAGTTGACTTATTTGTAGATCTTACTTTGCTGAACATTATTGCTGTTTACAGTTTATCTCTAACTATTATAATATTCAAGATAATAACCAAAAACTGCAAAATTTCCTTAAAATTACCAATTCAGGGGCAGCAACCCAACAACGGGTTGTCAGATTCATCTGAAAATTTCAGGGCAGATAGATCTTGACCTGACTAACAATTTTACCCCCGTGTCAGATTTGCTCTAAATGCTTTGGTTTCAGAGATATAAGCCAAAATCTACATTTTACCCCTATGTTCTATTTTTAGCCATGGCGGCCATCTTGGTTGGTTGGCGGGGTCATCGGACACATTTTTTAAACTAGATACCCCAATGATGATTGTGGCTAAGTTTGGTTTAATTTGGCCCAGTAGTTTCAGAGGAGAAGATTTTTGTAAAAGTTTACGGACGACGGACGCAGGACGACGGACGACGGACGCAAAGTGATGAGAAAAGCTCACTTGACCTTTCAGGTCAGGTGAGCTAATAAATTAAAAAAAACATGCCAAATTTGCAATATTTTATAGAAATTGACACAATCGTCTTAGAACATGTTTTACTCATTGTTGAAGGCCATACAGTGACCTATAGTTGGTAATTTCTGTGTCATTTATTCTCTTGTGGAAAGTTGTCTTATTGGCAATCATACCACATCTTATTTTTATATATACCTGAAGCTGCAGGTTTAGGGGCCACACCACCTAGTCCTAAGGCTCCTGTACTTCCAGGTGGATTTCCAGACAGTAATCCAGTCAGGGTGGGCACCGCTGTAGCACTGGTGGCAGCAGGTATGCCTTCTAAAGTGAAACCAGTTGAGGTACTACTAGCAGGCTTAGTGCCACCTTCAAAACCAAAACTTCTTGTTGGAGCTGAGGTTGCCGCCAGATTGACTCCCAAGTTATACCAACCTAATATAAAAAAAATATATTTGTGTTTTTTATGTTGATTCTATTTGGTATAAAACAATGCATCAACATGCTCAACATGCTCAAGTATAAAGTAAATAATATAAAAGAACAGAGTTCCAATGTCTCCTGCATTGCACATATTTTATTTATCCAAGGTACAAGGGCTATAACTAAAAAAAGCACTTTTTTTTGTTCTATAAGACTATTTTTTAATATCTTAGAGAAATGAAGGCTTCAGAGCAAATGCAATGTGATTTCCATTATAATTAATATTTCCAAAGGGCATTATAAACTCGTTAAAAATATTTGATCAAAACTTATTTTTCGAAAGTGTCAAAGACATTGCTGATATAAACCTATGATATAAGTTTCATAAAATTTTGGCAAGAATTGAACTTATGAGAGCGCTAACAATGCAATTTTCTGTATATTAATATTTCCAAAGGGCATAACTCTTTTAAAATAAATTAATCTGCACTGATTTTCAAACTCATCATAGACATTGATGATATAAACCTTTAATATAAATTTTATAAATATCTGGCAAGAATTCTACATATGAGAGTGCTTATAAGGCAATTTTCCATATAATAAATATTTGCAAGGACATAACTCTTTTAAAATTGTTTGATCGGCACTGATTTTCAAACTTGTCAAAGACATTGCTGATATCAACCTAGGATTTAAGTTTCAGAAAATTCAGGCAAGAATTGTACACATGATAGTGCTAACGATGCAATTTTCCATATATTTAATGTTTCTAAGGGGCATAACTCTTTTAAAAATAATTGAACGGCACTGATTTTCGAACTAGTCCAAGACATTGCTAATATAAACCTATGATATGGGCTTCATAAAATCTGGCAAGAATTGTGCACATGAGAGCGCTAACGATGCAATTTTCCATATAATTAATGTTCTAAGGGGCATAACTCTTTTAAAAATAATTGAATGACACTGATTTTTGAACTCATCCAAGACATTGCTAATATAAACCTAAGATATAGGTTTCATAAATATCTGGCAAGAATTGTTCACATGAGAGCGCTAACGATGCAAATTTCCTTATAATTAATATTTCCAAGGGCATAACTCTTTTAAAAATAATTGAACGGCACTGAATTTCGAATGTCAAAGACACTGCTAATATAAACCTATGATATAAGTTTCATTAAAATCTGGCAGGAACTGTACACGTGAGAGCTCTACCAAGACGGGACAGACTGACGGACACCCGGTATTTCGATGTCGCCGCAAAGCGTTGCGCAGGGGACAAAAATATAATGTATAGTATAGTCCTACACAAAGGTTTTATAATTACATATTCAATTTCATATTGTAGTCACTTAAAAGGTTTTTCATGGGATTTCAGGTTTTCATATTTTGTATGAGTAGGCTTAAGTACACATGTTTTTTATTAAAAATATATTTTATCCTTAACACTGACATCCAGATATATTCATCACTAAATAAATGGGGAATGTGTCCATGGGACACAGATGATGCCCCCACTTGCATATAACGTTATAAACAGACATTACTCAAGAACAGTAAAAGTGACACTACCCAAATTTGTACTTGATCTGAGTTTTGTGGTAATAAGCATTGTGTATAAGATTCATAACATTTGGTTGAGGCAAACTTAAGTTAGAGAATGGAACCGAAAATTTATCCATTTGTAAAAGGCATAACTCTAGAACGGTAACAGTGACGCCACTTAAATTCAAACTTAATCTGTGTTTTGTGGTAATAAGCATTGTGTATAAGTGTCATAACATTTGGTTGAGGCACACTTAAGCTAGAGAACAGAAACGAAAAATTCAGCAATTTTTCCATTTGTAAAGGGGCATAAATCTACAAAGGTAAAAGTGAAACCACCCAAATTCAAACTTAATCTGTTTTTTGTGGTAATAAGCATTGCGTAAAAGTTTCATAACATTTGGTTGAGGCAAACTACAGTTATAGAACGGAAACCAATTTTGGGACGTACGGACGTACGTACAGACGGACAAGGGTAAAACTGAATGCCCGCTCTGCTACGGCGGGGGCATAAAAAGATTGGTTGTTCAAATAAAATCCAAATAAATGTCTGGAGAAACTTATTTGAAGAAAAGCTATTATGATATTAAGATAGATATTACTTTTTCATTGTCTTTCATTTAGATAATAGTTTAAATTTGTTGGTATATAAAAAAGATGTGGTATGATTGCCAATGAGACAACTCTCCACATTAGACCAAATGACACATAAAATTAACAACTATAGGTCACCGTACGGCCTTCAAAAATGAGCAAAGCCCATACCGCATAGTCAGCTTTAAAAGGCCCCGAAATGACAAATGTAAAACATTTCAATGTTTAGTTCTCAATAAGTTATATGCAGTTCCATTACTATAAACTTATTCCACTTTCTATTCCTTATTAATTCAGTTAAAATTGAAATATATATGACCACCACATGTTACATATGAAAGAAGGACATATGTGTGAATCACGTGTAGCTCTCATATACTTATAATCAATATTTGTGAACAAAAATGTTCAAGAAATAATTACGTAATAATTTAGTAATGAGGAAAAATTCAATTTCTCCTTTTATAACAAGGAAACAAACAATTTTTTAAAATAAATTGTTATCTTTTGTTTTAATTTAATTATTTAAACCATATCATTATTATTTGCTTTTATATATAAATCAGAAATAACCAATTTAAAATGGAAAATTTAAAAGAAAAAAAAAGGAAAAAAAAATCCCCCCCCCCAAATTTTTTGAACCCCCTTATGATTCATCACCCCCAAACTCAATCCCAGCCTTCCCTTTGTAGTATGGTACCTTGCAGTACAATTTCATAGAGATCCATACACTTGAACACAAGTTATTGTCTGGAAACTAGAAAAATGCTTGTTTTTTGGCCCCTTTTTGGCCCCATATTCCTAAACATTTAGGGCAATTACCCCCAAACTCAAACCAAGCTTTCCCTTTGTGATATGGAACCTTGTAGTACAATTTCATAAAGATCCATACACTTACACACAATTTATTGTCCTGAAACTAGAAAAATGCTTGTTTTTTGCCCCTTTTTGGCCCCCAATTTCTAAAATTTTGAGGCAATTACCCCCAAAATCAATCCCAGCCTTTCTTTTGTGGTATGGTACCTTGCAGTATAATTTCAGAGAAATCGATACACTTGAACACAAGTTAATGTCATGAAACTAGTAAAAATGCTTATTTTTGGCCCCCTTTTGGCCCCTTATTCTTAAACATTTTGGGCAATTACCCCCAAACTCAATTCCAGCTTTCCCTTTGTGATATGGAACCTAGTAGTACAATTTCAGAAAGATCCATAGACTTGCACACAAGTTATTGTCATGAAACTAGAAAAATGCTTGTTTTTTGCCCCTTTTTTGGCCCCTAATTCCTAAAATTTTGAGGCAATTACCCCCAAAATCAATCCAAACATTCCCTTTGTGATATGAAACCTTGCAATACAATTTCAGAGAGATCCATACACTTGAACACAAGTTATTGTCTGGAAACTAGAAAAAGGCTTATTTTTGGCCCCTTGTTGGCCCCTTATTCCTAAACGTTTTGGGCAATTACCCCCAAACTCAATTCCAGCTTTCCTTTTGTGATATGGAACCTTGTAGTACAATTTCAGAAAGATCCATAGACTTACACACAAGTTATTGTCATGAAACTAGAAAAATGCTTGTTTTTTGCCCCTTTTTTAGCCCTAATTCCTAAAATTTTGAGGCAATTACCCCCAAAATCGATCCAAGCATTCCCTTTGTGATATGGAACCTTGTGGTACAATGTCAGAGAGATATATACACTAACACACAAGTTATGTCTGGAAGTTACAAAAATGCTTATTTTTGGCCCCTTTTTGGCCCCTAATTCCTAAACTGTTGGTACCATAACCCCCAAAATCAATCCCAACCTTCCTTTTGTGGTATTGAACCTTATGGTAAAATTTCATAGAGATCCATTTGCTTAAACTAAAGTTAGAGTGCAAAAACCAATGTGTCTTCAGACGATGAAGACGACAACGTCATACCAATATACGACCACAAAATTTTTTTGTGGTCGTATAATAAAGTCAGATATGTAACATATATGTCACAAAAACAATAAACAGGGTGAATCTACTTTTGAATCACTTGAAATTATTTTCTCTCTAGAATAAAATGCTTTGCTGAGCGCAGCCTGATACAACCGCAGTGGTAGAACCCTGAACAGTTGGGGTAAATTTGGACACAATATCCAAGCTTGATACTAACTGAATTTGGATTGTGATCAAATTTTTGACATAATATAGGTTTCTGACACAAAATGAATGTGGTCAAAGATTTTGCAAATCTAATGCGCAATACTGTGCAATTGAAGATTTTTTCTTGAAATTTTCAAAAATTTGAAATTTAAAAATGTTGAAAAAAAAATATGAACCGATTTAAAAATATTGAAACCCCCCCCTTTTCAAACTTTTTGAATCCCCCTTGGAGCATTAACCATCAAACTCAATCCCAGTCTTTCCTTTGTAGAATGGAACCTTGTAGTACAATATTAGAGAGATCCATACACTTAAACATAAGTTATTGACTGGAAACTTTAAAAATGTTTGTTTTGGCTCTTTTTTTGCACTTAATTTCTGCATGTTTGGGGCAATTACCCCCAAACTCAATCCCAGCCTTCCCTTTGTGATATGGAACCTTGATGTACAATGTCAGAGAGATCCATACACTTACACACAAGCTATTGTCTGGAAGCTACAAAAATGCTTGTGTTAGGCCTTCTTTTGGCCCTTTATTCCTAATCTGTTGGCACCATAACCCCCAAAATGAATCCTAACCTTGTACTTGTGGTATTAAACATTGTGGTACAATTTCAGAGCAATTGAAATACTTATACTCAAGTTATTATACTGAAAGTAGAAAAATGCTTGTTTTGTGTCCCTTTAGGGCTCCTAATTCATAAACGGTTGGGACAATCATCTGCCAAA